AGTGGGCCTGGGCTGGTGAGGAGGTGTAGTGCAGTGGGCCTGGGCTGGTGAGGTGGTGTAGTGCAGTGGGCCTGGACTGGTGAGGTGGTGTAGTGCAGTGGTAGAGCCTCACAAAGTAGTTGCTGTGACTGAACCTGGCTGAAGGTGATAGCTTCACCAAGACAGGGCCTGGTGCTGCTGAGATGGCTGGGATGAGGGAAGGACTGCAGAGAGTTTGAGGAAACAAGAGTCCTTGCATCCAGGCTCAGGGGAGTAGTCATTCTTCATCGAGCTCCAGGAAAGAGATTGACGTTTAGAAAACTAGGAAGTGGGAGGAATCAGAAATAAAGGTGCAAAATACTGACATGCGGTATAGCCAAAGAGCTTAGTCTTTCAGGTCCCTGCGGGGTTCCACATTTCAGGATTCCTCTGAGCAAGGTTTAAATAGATAGAGACCAAAAAAACACAAATCTTCCTAAATGCAAAATAAAATGCAATTGAAAGATTACGGCTGACCCCTCCAACTCCTGGAATGTGCCGCCTCCTTGCTGTGCGTCACCCGGAGCAAAGCACCAAGCTTCCTTCAGCTCAGCCCGCTCCAGAAGAGGCTGAAAGGATGGATGGACCCTGCAGGAAGTGTGGTTCTTGGATAAAAGCAGCCGCTAAATGACTAATCATGGGCATTAATTATTTATTAAAGCTTTGTGTGTCTCATGTTCGCATGATGGGACTTGGTTGTTACTGGAATTTCTGCCACTGGTTTGAATGTTCCAGTGTGGAAAGTTGGCACAGGGAGCAGGTAGCAGCCCTGTCCTGAAGATGAGTAAGATTCCAGTTGCACAAACGGAATTCAGACTCATCTCTTGATGTGGTGAGTCTCCCAATTTTCTGAGCTGAGTTTTCTCTGTAGGGAGATTGTCGGATGGTATTTTTGGGAACAGGAACAAATGAGTCGCTCCTTTGAAACAGAAAACATCCATAAGGACATAGTGGTTTGTTATTACTCAGAGGAGGCCCAGAAGAAAGAAGGCTGTGACAGGGCAGACGTTCTTTCAGTGGCCAACGCAGGGATCGTCTTTCCCTGAGCTATCATCCAGTCAAAGCCATCCACTTCACTGCTGGGTAACTTGGTTTTGAAAAAAGTTATAATTTTACATTTCATACAAGTCAATCCTTCATGATTTGTGGATTCTTTTTCCCACACGAGTTTTGTCTTCCTGTATATTGTTATAACTGATGTTACCCCGCACGTATTGCTAACCAGTCACAGCTGTTTGGATCTCAGTCTGAGATCTTCATGACCATCTTTCCTCTCCGCTGTCCTCCCTGCTCTGCCACGGGCCCTGGCCTGGCTCGTGGTCTCCATGAGCTCTGAAGGGATCCAGGACTGCTGGCTGGAAGCTTATTTTGTGTTTAATACGAAACCTCAGGCCTCTTGATCCAGTAGCAAAAAAAACTGTTCGGGGGGCCCAACTTACCCATCCTGGGGACCTTGTTCTGGGACCTGCGCAGTGATCTCGACACCCCCCAGGCACAGCCTTACCCAATTCTCTTTAAAGATGAAAGGACAAACGAACAGAATCAAATTATGTTTTGCTCTCTGGAGATGGAGGTCTAGGAGCTGGCAGCCAGTCACCGTAGGATAGTTGTTTATCCAAAGACTGCAGCCTGAAGCCAGGTTTCGTTACTCACTCTCTGGCCCGGGAGACCAAGAAACGCTTCATCCTCCACGCTTCACAAGACATGCCTTTTTGGTTTCTGGAATCAAGACTTCTTGTTTTCAGCCACATGAGTTCTTTTACTTCCTCGGTTTGCTGAGAAGGTTAATATGAAGAGAAAAGGTTTTAAGCTTCTTGATGTTAGGAACAGGATCAGAGTTTGCTTAAATCTTCAGAAGAACAGAGGACACATTTGATGCCCCCCCCAAAAAGTTTTGTTCCCCAGTTAGCAATTGCTTTTAACACTTTAATATGAAAATTACTTTGATTGGTTCTGCAGAGTTAATGCATGACATTCGTTCTGCACACAAGCCCCCACTGTGCATCCTGTGTGTCAGAAGAGGACTCTAAGGTGTATCTCCAGAACATCCATTTCATTTAGCAGATGCCCATATCTCAGAGGGTCTCTTCACCAGGGCAACACACAGTGTGTTGGCAGCAAGGCCAGGTGCCTCCATCCAGGAGAACAAGCCCTTCACCTTGGTCCACCTGGAAACGATCTGTAAACCTATCCTGCATATGCATCAATTACTGCTGCCCACCAGAAACTGGCTAGAACAGTGTAGTACATACTTGTGGCACTAATATCGTGATTTAATTTCACAAACCTATTTAGCCCATGTGACTTCTAATATTATAGCATAAATTACAGAAAGGAAGCAAGTAATTACAAGATTACATTTCACAATGTTATTACCATTGATATCATATACATATCTTACTTTGTGGTGTTAAGAGTGGAATATTGTTTGCAAGGACAAAAAGGAGCAAAAAAACAACAAATTATGTAAATTATGTATTGTTACTTCTGCAAGAGGAAGAATTTACAGCTGTAGTGTGAGACACCAGGCCAGAACAGTCTGCCTAGATGATTACAAGTAAGGTAAGAAGTAGCATGATAAACTCGCCCTCTTTTATGAACTCTGTGATACCGCTTGTTTCTTAACAAGCATTTTTAAGAGAAACAGAGGCAATGAAAGCACCTGGAAACCTGCCATCTAAAAGCACAGGTACCTTTATATATCCTCTGGAACAGTCTTCAGAACATTAGTGTGTCTTGGAAGCCCTAAGTAAGCCCTACAGGACCCTGTGTGTTATCAGGGAGAACATTTTGAATGAAGGGTTTGCCCTAGCTGATCAATTCTGTCATTACTGGAAGTGCTGGAATATATTTATGTATATGTATATGTTTTCCTTGTGTGTATTGTGTTATTTGTCCTGCTTTCGGAGTCCAGCTGTCTATTACTTTATTAGTATTTTCAAACACTGTCGTGATCTGTGCAGGCTTGACAGGAGCCATGACGTGGTGCAGGAAAACTGTGTGAGAGCTGAGGTTTGATCTGAACAGAACTGTCCTGTTTCTTTTGACAGGACTGGTGGTGATGGGGGGAATCGGTTTTTGCTTTTAAGTTTGCATTGCGCGCAACGTGGGGCTTATTTCACTGACAGCTCTTCAGATGTTATCGCGAGTTTATTGCTTCGAGTCAGGTTTGAAGTCGTTGCCCGTTTGACGTTTAAAGATGCACAAGAGTGAAGTCACATCTCCTGAAGGTTGAGTGATCGTGTCAGCAGTGCACAATTGGTATTTGCATCCAAGGACAGCACAGGGATGCAGCTACCACAGCGCATGTCTAGGAGGCTTCTCTCTTGCTTCCTGCTGCTGTAGGATAGCCAGTCTGGTACACTGCAGCTGCACTCAGTTATTCTGCAATTGAAAGTATGGGGTTTTCAGAGAAGTGGGTAAGAGACCAAAGAAGAGAGGGTTGAGCTTCTGTTATTTATAATTAATTATTAATTATATTATACAATAACCAATAAATGGTGCAAAGATTGTTTGTCACCAAAAGAAATAAACCAATACCTTGTAGAAGGCGTCTAAAAGAATTGTCCAGCTTTGACCATGCTGCTTTGAGACTCTTAGCTGGTCCCCATCAAACCCCGAGTCTGTTTTGACGTATCGCTGTCCTCCTGCACTGTATCTCATGACAAGAATGGGCTGAGAGCCCCTGTATGGTGAGGGAAGTCAACGGAAGCCCAGGGATGTGTTTTTGACCCCCCACCACCCGTTCTTTACAATATTGTTGTCGTTTTCCGATATACCTCTTTTTTTTCCACCATGTACGTCCTGAAAATGAAAACCTGCCTTTGCTTAATGTGTTGTGTATACAGTATGTGCACTGTCATGATACAGCACCACTGCACTGAATACTCTCGCTGAATATAAAGATTGATATACTGTCTGGTTTGAATGCTTAAGAAGAATAAGACCTTGCAGAAGCATTTTAATTGACGACACTCTATTAGTGTTGTAATAGACCAAGATTAACATTCCCTTTGAAGGCACTTGATTTGGAGCAGACATGAAATTAGTGCTAGTTTACCACTGGAGAAAGACTAACAATGGGAATTCTTCAGGGCTGTTGTCTTTAACAACAGGAATGTTTAATTAGATCATTTAAAATCGTCTGTCTTGTGCTTCAAGCACGTTTCAAGGATATTTTTTTTCCACACAAGTTATCCCTGCACCCCAAGACCATTAATATTGCGTGGACTTGAAAGGGCCTGGCTCAGAGAGAGATCACAGGCAGAGAACGCAGCTATCTCCTTCCAGAGCAGTGATTGGCAAAGTGATGATGCTGTCAAGTCTTCAAAGAGCATCTTCCAGAGCAGCTAATTAAGACAAGAAGATGTAGACTTCGCAGCATCACAGCTGTTTTCAGATTGTGCCACACGTGCTCAATGTGAGAATTTTAAACACTTACAGTATTATAACAAAAGCGCAGGCATATTAAGTCAGTCAGATTTGGCTTTGTGTTTTCATTACAGCTCATCTCTGCAGTTTTTCACTGCAGAGGTTTTCTCACTAGCTCGCAAAGCTCTGCAGATTCTTCAGAAGGATTGGGTTGAAGATTTATATTAAATTTATTTGGAGTCTCTGGCCCAGGCTGGCTCACATACTGTATTCCTGTATTCTGTTTACTGAAATGTTTTCTGCCTTAGTCGCTGTCTTCTCACGTGAAACACTTCACAAGATTACTTGGAAGAGACTTTACGTTTATGCAGTATGTAGATAGTTAACTTAAATCATAAAATGGTTGCTCTTTCCTGGCTTCCTGGCAGGACCATGTCCTTTAAGAAATCCCCTTCAATGCGAATCTCCAATTAAAACACAGTCAAATAGAAATATATGATTAAGTATTGCTGCTATTACAGAACAGTAAAAGGCAGAAATATAGGTCAGCAGATCCGCCATAAAGTGTTGTGAAACCCAGACATACTGTGAGTGTTGTTTTTGCAGTTTTGAATTGGACCATGGTCCCCAAAGTGACTTGAACATGTGCACAGGTGTGTCGTTGCTTTCTCTTTGAGAGCAAGCTGATGCAAACTGTTTTTTTAGAACAGTAGCGGGGCTGAAGATTAAGTGGGCTCCAGGCCTCTCCTGTAGTATGTGCCAGACCCAGTTGTGTTTGAATGTGGCACTTTAATCAGCTGCTTATCCATTTCTAGTTTGGTTTTACATTCTCCCCAAGGGCACAACAAGGGCGGGGAAGGGGTACTCAGCCTATGGCAACCAGCCCCCCCAGATGAACAGAAAAATAGTTGAGCTGTAGAACCTGAATCTGAACAGCCAAAGGTGCTATCCCATCCTGACGTAAACCCCCAGTAACACTAGCCCCCAGTTTCAATCAGCATTGCTAATGGCAGCCCTATTGTTTGTACCTAAAAGAGTGCTAACCATACAACTAAAAAGCTGCTTCTTACTGTCGGTTTTAGCTCATTCTTTGTTTAGTTTAAACTTGGCTTCCTTGCGTTAAAAGGACTGCAGATCTTAATTATATAATGCATAAGAGATTGACAGATTTTAATTTTCACTCCCTTGTGTTCTTGACTCTCTCATTCTGCATTATAATGGTTCATTTCATGTAATGTGCACATCTGTAAACCACAGCAAAGGTATTGTTCTGAGGGTAGACTTGTCCATCTTTGCCACCTTTACAATACACGCAAAACAGCACTTCCAACCTTTATGATTTAAAAAATGAGTTTCCACCATTCCTCCTTGGTTCCTTGTCCTTACATTCATCTCCCTCCCAAAAAGGATATCCAGCCCATTGTGCCCCTGTCTCACCCTGTGCCGCTCAACACCATTAGATTATAGATTGATTCTCTGTAAGGATGACACTGGTGTATAAGGATCAACTTGACAAGGAGAGACAGAGCCGGTCATTTATGTGAATGTATCAAAATATATAAATACAACTAAGACAGATCAACTGCACCACATACTGTACCAATGCTTTAATATATTTAGATTAGTATAATTAATGATACCTACTGTACATTACAGGTTGCAGTAGTACAAGGACTCCTGCCAATTTATAGTACATGACTTTAAATCATATGAACAGGTTGGGTATTTCAACACAGCAAGTACACAACCTTCCCCTGTGCTCTGCTGGTGCAGAGAAAACCAGCTGAATTTGTAAAGAAACCAAAGCTCTTGGTATCAGAAAACTGAGAATAGATTAACTTCTATGTTTTGATAGCCATCCTTCTCTTTACTCTGGAGCAAAGGCACTAAAGTCCTAATTAGTAATTGCTGTGCAACAGGGCAATAGTGAGGTCTGGATAATTTAGAGAAACACCAGCGTGTGAAAGACTGAGCCACCACGCTTTCCCAGGAGCCAATTTTAATGTCAGCTTTCTGGCTTAGTACCATCTTAAAAGGTCTAACATCTGTTGGACTTAAGGCCACTTGTTGGGGAAAATGGGGGAAAAAGATCCATTTATCATTCTTTCATGCCCATTGTTTTTAATTATAGCAGTCCCTTTCAAGCCTGGAATATGTGTGGTTCAAGCCGGTGCTGTCCTTTCGTGTTTTTTAAAAGTCACACAGCTGCGATCGGAATAAATTGATGTGGAATCAAAAACGGGACTTTAAAGGAAGGAGGCTTTGACAGACGTGGTCTCAATACCAGATGGGGTTTCATGATGAAAAGAGTTTAATCCCAACCCAGGCATCGCTTCCATCAGTCCAGCAGTACAAAGTGATTCATATATAGGTTTTGCAAGAAATGATCTCTCTTTTCTTTTTTTTCCCCCCAAACAGCTCAGGATTTTCCCTTGAAGACTTGCAAATGTGGCATTAGCTAATATTCAGAGAACTGCTTTCCTTTTATCCACCTGGGACCTCTGATTGCGCTACCGTTCTCGAATTGGAAATGAATGCTGCAACCATCTAGTGCTCTGGCTTCTGATTTGCATTCAATAGACACGGCACTGCAGGACACTCCAGTGTAGGCCATTTCTTCTTTCTGCATAGCAAGAAAACAGATTCTTATTCTGTAGTTTTTTTTTAATACCTGAAAAAAGAAAATAAGAGGCAGCAGAAATTAAAGCCATGTTCGTAAGGGCATGTGTGCTAGCATGGGAGACGGCCATCCAAATGGGCTTGTCTCGGAAATGCTTAAAGAGAAAGTACCCAGCATTCTCCAGCACTGGTTTTTAACCAGTTCGCATTGTTTTTCAGTCAGAAGAGCTGATAATGTGTGAAGGGATTGTTCTCTGCCCAGCGAATACTGCACATGCGGTTTTCTTCAGTTCAGGATTCATCGCCTTGTGCGGTGCTTGATGTATCTGGACTGGGCCCGCGTTATTAACTGTGTGTGCATGCATACATACACTTAGCCTGATGGTCCTCTGGAATGTTGTTTTTCAGTGGTATGATCTAGCTGGTGATTTGTGCTTTTTAAATAGCGAACACAGCATTTTTCTGATGCCTCAAGTTATCATTTAGGGGAGGCAGGCATATGTAACAAGAAAGAGGAGATATTTATGCCTATGAATGTTTAATGATGGTCCTGCAGTGTAGCTAATTATGCACATGCTAATGATATTAATGTAATGATGAGGTGATATAGATTGGGATCCCCATGTGTTCATTTCTATTTTTTAATTTGTTTTCTTTGTGTTTGTACCTCTTGGGCTTCTGTAGGCAGGTACGCCTGTGGAGACCGATAGGGCCTTTCGTACCTCCTTCTTGTCAAAGGGGGTAGCTGGCTTGTAGGAGACTCCCCAAACCGTTGCCCTGGCAGGCCGGCAGCGCTGGGTTTGGGGTGGGTGGTTTGCTCACCTGTTGTTGCTCCCCTGGCATGGGGAAACTTTGGGGAAGCGGACATCAGACAATGAGGCATTCTTGGCTGAAGCTACAGAGCTTATCAATTCCAGATACGGCACAACACTTCCTTGGGAAAATCCCCCCCACCCAGCACACACACCCTCCCACTCTTCAACATTTCTCAGTATCTCAGAGACCCTGTTACGCAGTTCAAGCACAATGCTCTGTTTCAGCTAGCTGTTTGAGGCTTAATGCTTCCTGTAAATCATTAAATCATTTTTTGAAAACTTTTTTAACTTTCCAAGATGACTATTAGCACATTGTTGTGGTATAAAAGCCTTTTGTCGCTTCCTTGTAACAGCTAAGCAATGCCTTCTTTAAAGAAATACTTACAGTAGTAAAAATAACACTATGCACCCGTACCTCTGCTTTCTTTATTACATTAGAGTCCCCCTCTTTCTTGCATGCAAGCCCTGACCTGCAGGAATTAGATCAGCTGACTCTTAAACTGTTATCACAGGTGAGGTTTGTGCCACTGAGCTGTTTTCTCAGACATGCAGAGTCCCCACACTGGACCAGTATCTTCCATGCGGTTGGAGTGCAAGTGACCTTTGTCCAGCACCACAAGCTGGGATAACATGCTGGCACGGTGCCTGTATCAGCCTGGCTCAAACACACAGAGGAAACAGTCTAACGAGCTTCAAACGAGTTGCAATCAGATAAAGTTGAACTATTGCTCCATTTTGGTTTGTGTTTTTAAGACTTTCATCAACAATTAGGAAAGAAATGGCTCATCAGTCAGTATCCTAATGTAAGAGACATTTTCTTCCTGCCTGTAATTTACACAGAACAGGAGATGTTCAGCAGCCTTCTCTGGTGATTCCTTTGATTTTAGTTTGCCTTTATCTACAGTGTTTGGTCTGTCTGTGTACCTCCCAGTTCAGATTAAGCAGAGCACAGCTTGTTGCAGTGCAGCTTCTTGATCTGGTTCAAGCTGGACAGTTTGGGCTTGTGCACTGACCCTAGTTTGAGATGCAAAGTGTGTATGCAAAGAAGAGGCACGCAGGCCTGAGGCCTGCAGCTGGGACCCTCAGCGGAGGGCTGTTTCCTTCCTCGCCCTGCAGTGAATCCTTCTGAAGCACCCGGTCACGCCAGGCAGAGCTGCTTCTTCTGAGATCGACAAGACGTGCAGCATCTAAAGAAGCCACGAAGACTTTTTTTAAAAAATGCATTCAATCTTTTTGAAAAACCTGAAAACCCTGCAACTTTTGGTAGAGTAGCAGATAGTTGTTCAGTTTATTGATTGTGATTCTTATTCCAAAAAACAGTCTCAGCAACGCTCATTCTCAGCATTATTATTTATTATACTTGTTAGCTGTAAAGAGAGTGGTAAAAGAGACGTTTTTTGCCTTTATTTTCAACCTGTCGCCTTACAAAGTCAGGATATTTTGCATGAAGAATTGTAGTGAAATCCCAAACTGCAAGCTCAAGGGTTAGTTCAGAAGAGAGCAGTTTTAAGGGAGCTGGTCAATAGCAGGAGTGTGTTTGGAAAGAAAACTATGAGGCCCGGGGGCCCTGGTTCTGGCCTGGCACCGCAGCAGTGCAGGACAGCAATCGCCCTCCTGTCTTCCTCCTCCTCCTCCTCCACTGGGGGCTTCTGGGACTGTCAAATAAAGAGAATGGCCGATTTTAAAACAAGCATCCTGAAAAGGGCATTGAAGTGCCTTTAAATTAAAAAAATAGGCTTTAATTACTGTGTCTTTGGATGAGGAGTTAATGATAATAGAAATCCAGCGCTGATCACTGCTTTCAAAAGGGGGTTTGTTTAATAAATACCTCAAAGACTCATTGTTTAAGAATATCTCTGCAGATATTTTAAGTATCACAGATGTGCTGCTGTTTTTTTGTTGAAGTTTTAAATTCCCATCTGCGTAATCCTAAATGTTTGATTGTTTGTGAGACCAGATTAAATGTTACCTCATACTCCAATTTAATTATAGCTTGATTGTTCCTTGAAGTGCATTCATTAAAACCTTTACATGAGCATTGCATCATGTGCTTTTAAACAATAGCAATAATTAACATTGAATGTTATTTCATGTCTTTGCCAATTTCTTTTGCAAAACAATTTCCACTACTATAAAATTCAGATAGAAACAAGTATAACAATAACAAGGAAAGAGACTCTTGAGGAAAGGATGGTGCATCTTTTCAGTTAAGACCAAACAGGTGAAGCCACTGAAGTCAGTGTGCAGCTGACTATGAATCACTGTGCCCAAGTATTGCTGGGAACTAGTTCTGTTGTGAAACCCTGAGAAATCTAAGATAATTCTTTTGAAGTCGCCATGAGATGCTTTCATCCCTCCTGCCATGTGACTTGATAAATCCCTTCCCCTCTGAGGATCGCGTCAGTAGTGTGAGTGGTTGAATTTCAGATGGAGTTCAAATGGAGTTTGTTCTGAACCTCTATGTACCTACCAGTATTCAAGTCATTATTTGTTAGGTTGTGAAAGGGGGGCGGGATTGCTCCGTTATACACCAGGAACTCAAATACTACAGAAAACAGACATTTTCTCCAGTATGTAGTCTTTTTAAGAAGCGGTTGGTTTCATTTTTACATCTGTGTGAAATGACAGGTTCTACATGGAAAAATAAGCCATTTAAATATTTCTTATAGGTGTCGTCTTGAATAAAATCCAGCTCCAGCTCAGGTGTTTATTAAATGACAACTGTATGGCTGAACAACATTTTTTAAATAATCATTCAATAATCTTTTTCCATTGCTTATCGTCTCGGTATGTAATTTAATTTTCTCTTTACAGCCATGTATTAAATCAAAGGCTTTAATCTGAGCAAAATCAATTCTGAAAGGTCAAAGCACTCAAGGTCAAGCATAAGGTCACTGCAACAGTGGCTTTTTAAGAGTGCCTGTAGCAAACATCTATTCATGCCGACCAATTGACTTTCTAATGGGGCCGGCTTTCTGTGTTCCTTATAGAGAATGCCGTTTAATGCTGTGCATTGTGGATGTATCAAAGAGAGGATTACAATGAATGCTGAAGAGCTGGCTGTGGGCGAACAGGCGAGTGGCCGTATGTTTGTCCCTGGTTTTCCTCAGAAAAGTTATGTGGCAACAATTTCCATAACTCATGAGCGAGTGACCTCAAGCCCGGGATTTGATTGTGCTGATCTGCTGATTGTTGGCCTTTGATGTAATGGAACACCGAGCCCCTGTTTTGCCTTGTCCTTCTGTTTTTTTTCTGGTTTAGAGCTCTGGGACTCAGATCCAAAGGGTGCCGCCCGTTCTCTCTGAGCCAAGTGGAGTGGCCCTGCATGCCTGTGATCTCAGCGGCACAGTGACTCACAGGACTGCGCCAGTCCCGAACGGGTCGGCCCAGAGCCTCACTGAACAATCCAGTGGCCTGTTGCTCTGAGGCTCGGCCATGTTTCAGCCATTACATTCAGAAACGTCATAAATCTGCTTTCTGACGGTATCCTCTCGGTGTTCTGCCATCCTTAGGAGGAAATACTGCAGTTATAAGGTTGTCTTGTGGTGTGCTTTGTAATTCCCTTTTTTACATTGGTTTTCCAGTATTTTAACTTCAGGTGCACCCTCATTTCTCACTGCTTCATGGTCTTGTCTTGCCAAGTTTTCGCTACATCCTAAGGGCATCAACATGCCTTTTCTGTAATTTACATTGCTATACGTTGGTAAGACTTCAGGTCTCCATTATAAAAATCCATTAATGTTATTAAATATGGAATAAAGAGGATTTATATACCCCATAGTCTAGCATTAGGGGTCTCCAGTTAATCTATAGTAAATCTTGGTTTTCATCACATTCATGTCACTCTATTACAGTAATTCTATACACATGCCTTGTAGAGTCTCTAATCTGAAGTGTAACACAAGGGTTGTGAACTCTTGGGAAGGAGTTTTGCATTAGTGTTTTTCTTTGCCTCATCCTGCAGCGACTGGTGTTGTACTTTCCAAGACTCGAGGTGACAGAGTCTGAGGGGGTATGGTGGAGCAGAAAGCGAGAGAGTATGAAAGGTTACAGATGAGGACGGCCATCCAGCCCATCCTGCTCATTTGCTTGCTTGTAGCTGAGTGATTGAACAATCCAGTTAAGTCATTTATTGAAGGATCCTGTGGAATAAGTATCAACGACATGGCTGGGGAGCTAGTTGAAGTCTCTGTAAAGAAGCTTCCCTGTTTTCTGCCCTGAATGCTTCCAGATGTCCTCTTCTTTCATCAGGTCTTTGTATGGTGGCTGGTTTGTGTTAAAAAATAAGTCTAGTTCAACTTGCGTCAATGCCTTTCAGGATTTTTGATGCCTGGATGACACCACTCCCGTGGTCTTCTCTGTGTTCACTTCCCTTCCCGTGTCTGAGCGCATCGTTCCCGTCAGACCGGGAACTAGCCGGGCTGCTTCCTCCTTGAGAGGACGCGGCCGCGAGCGCCCATCTCCCGCCCGCCGGGGACGGCGGGATCGCCCCTGAGCGCCTCCTCTTCCTCCCGCAGGCCGCGGCGGCGCTGGAGGCCCAGGTGCAGCAGCTGCGGGAGGAGCTCGTGCGGGCCGGCGCCCAGCGGAAGCAGCAGCTGCTGGAGCTGAGCCTGCAGCGCGAGGAGGAGCGGCAGAGGGCCGCGCAGGAGCAGGAGGCGGCGCTGGGCCGGCTGCGGGCCGAGACGGACAGGGCGCGGCTGGACCTGGAGAGGGCGCACGCTGCCGAGAGGCAGGCCGGCCTGGAGCAGGTACGGCCCCGGTTTCCCCCTCCTTTACAAAGTTTCCCTACAGCCAGATCAGTCATCGGGAATTAACAGGACCCGGATATTAATCTGAAGATGTTCCGGGGAGGCGGAGCTTGCGCTGTTCCCCAGACGTGTCAGGATGGGTTCATCTCGACTTTTGCCTGTGGTGTGAGCTTAACCCGCTCGCAAAATAAAAAGAACGCGTGATGAATTCGAAGAAGACTGCATTGTGGGGAAAACGCAGCTCACAAACATCTTTTCCTGGCACACGATTGTTAAATTGTGTTTTTAATCAGATGCACAGATGGGCTTGTTCGCTTTGCTTGAAAAGCACGTTCAGTGTTTATTGTGCTTTCCGTCAATTGCTAATGGCAGGAGAAGCTGATATTGAAGGCACACCTCTTTATCAGTCTCTCTTCTCTTTTTATTAGGTGTAAAGTTTTCTTTTGGCCTCTCAAAGAAAAGGGCTAGCGCGGGCTTTCCTTTGAGCCTGTGCTGTGCCCCACAGTAAAACAAAGCAGACTGGTGAGTGTCTCGCTGATGGGGCGGTGGGGAGCTAGTCTGTGTGCTGCGATATCCCTCTGCTTTTTGTTTACGATAGCAGTTCATCCTGCTGAAATGAACCAGAGTCTCCTGCAGGACCTTAGGAAAGATGACATTGATCATCAGGACCTGTGATTCTGATCAGGCCCGTCAGAGCTATACTGCTTTCATTAATACTCATGCGTCACTTGTATGGAGCCTCTGAAGACATCTGCTCTGGATTATCGTGGTATGCGAATGTCTATAAATCGTGACTCCATTTTGGTACCATATGGTGGTATATTATTCCAAATGAATCCTGATTTTTAAATGATGCCTTTTTTCTTTTCTAAATGTATGTCAAATAAAAACACTGAAGATGTAGGCTGCTTACATTTTGTAGTTCAGATAGGAACTCTTTTCTTTTTTAAATTCATCATGATCTTTTTTTTTTAAAAGCCTATGAGCTCACAGACCTGGTATAATCTGTCTTTGAGCCTGGAAATACCCGGTTTCAAAGCCAGATGTGAAATTATATTAAAGGCTGTGCAGCTGCCCTTAGTAGGCAAAAGGTCTAGTTTAAAGAAAAGCATTAGTTTATCAAAGACGAACAGGAGAAAGATATCTAGGAGCCCGATAAATTTCCCCCTACCCCCCCCTCCCTAACATTTCATGCAGAATACCTCAGTGAAGACAGCATTACATCATTCTCAAAGAGTAGAGATCACAGCTTTTTAGTCTGGCCTTCCAGTGGTCCTGCCAAAACAAAACATGCCATAACAAGCCTTCAATCCAGACCCTTGTTTTGAGACCCCTCCACTGGCTGCCAGTTAGAGTTGAATCTACTTTAATATCCTTTCGCATTACCTACAGTTCCTAATTCCAGTTAAATCACACTCGAGGAAATTATAGGGGATGGTCAACATGGGTTTAGAAAATGTAGGTCTTGCTTAACCAACGTGGTACAGTTCTCTGAATCTGCAATAACAGCATGATACTACTGGGGTTTCAAGATTTGCTGCATTGGTATCATTCCAGATAAGGGCGACCAGATACATTGCCACACTTGAAGAAATTTCCTACTTGTACAGATTAAAATAAATGACCCTTTGTAGTTTTGAGCTGGGAAGACTGGAGGTGATCAGATTGAAGTATTCAGAATCCTCAAGGCCATGAATAAGTAAAGAAGGTGGAGTTCTGCAGAATCAGCATTGCATCACAGACCGTTGGATGCAAAGGAAGACTACAGAGAAGAGCACTTATCACCGAGTGAAGGGGGCACGTCTGTACACAAAGACTGGTGGGAGTATGGAACAAGGCACTCAAGTTGATGAAAGGCATACCTTGGCTTTTTGCAAAAAACATGATAAATGGGCCCAATGGTATTAATTTGTGCTCCGTTGGCTCTTTGTATCACCCAACCAGTTCTTCTTTGTTAAAAATTGGAGGCTGCACTGCAGTGGTAGAACAGCTTTAATAATCTTTTAAATGCTGTACGTTGAACTATTTATTTTGATTTGTATTGTTGTGCTGAACTCACTGTACAGTAATTCTGTATTAACTAAGCTTTAAAACATTTTTTGAAAGATTAATTACGTGAAACATCTCGTAAAAACCGAGATGTAGGCTGTGTATGGATCTTGACTTTTTCTGTTTGAAAACCCTTTCATAAACAGTTTTCACTAACTTTAAAAGGTATGCAAAGTTCAAACTTCACCTGTAGAGCAAGATATTTTTTAAAAGACATTGCGGGCTGTTTTGTAAGCTTGGATAGCCTTACGCTGACAAAAATCCTCTTCCCTCTCGTGTCAGCATTTTAAAAAATGTGCTGTCAGAGCTTCAGCGTATTTTACAGAATCTATGAACAAAAGACGAAAATCCATTAAACCCATGAAGCTGGGGAGCATATTTTCATTAAATAAGCTTGTTTGAAGGGATTGTGAAAAATAATACTGAGCAACAGACTATCAAAAAGATCAGATGGCAGCGCTGATTGCTCCATGTCTGTGTTGCCCTCAAAAGGAGGAGGGGAGAGAAATATAAACTGGAGAATTAAAGAATATGGAAGAATGATGCGTATTGCCCACTGAGATAAACGTCTAGCTCTGTTTGAGTTGGAACTCAGCTGGTCATGCTGCACCATTGGATATTCCTGCTGTGCCTTTGCTACAGCTGTTAATGGCATCCCTCACCTTAGCTTCCAGCTTACTATTACAAGGCAGGGAGGCCTAGAACAAGCTCATGCTAAGGAAGAGCCACCCGAACAGACCCATGGGACTGAACCCTTTCCAGTCCATCCAGCATTCGGTTCTCTATGTGTCCAGCTGCAACAGAGCGGACTTCCGATGAACCTACTCTTCTTGTGCCTGACTCCTCGCGAGGAAGAGTCAGTGTTTTATATGCTACCTGAAGGGTCGCCGAGCTCAAAACATGGCCGGTGCTGGTCAGCTCATCAGCCTGGACATGTTGGACAACAAGTGTTTGCTGAGGGGGAATCGCCCGTCTGGTGGTCTGGAGAGCATGGAGACATCCGTGCAGATTTCCATTTCCTCCTTCTTCAGTAGCATCGGTTCATCCTTCTGGAGAGCACAGTGCCCTGGGCTCACCAGCCTCACAGTAGCATGTTTCCACAGCATTTAAAAGCTTTGTAACATTTATTGTCGACTGATACGGGCTTTACTTGGAAATTGCAAAAGAGGCACTTATTGTTTATTTATCATTATGTTTGTATGCTTACAGAACTGAACCATCAGAGAAACCATGTTTCCCTTATTAAGGCTTAAGGCATGATGAAACTGTGATAGAGTGTTGTAAAGCCTAAGAGAAGAGTGGATTAGCACAGAGAAGTATGGTGAAGCACAGCTGAGCAGGACAGACACAGCTCTAACTGTGGCAAAGAGCGGTCCGTGCTTGCTAAGGGGATAAGGAAAATGGCAGAGCACTTGCATGATTACCATTGTAAACTTTCATAGGTTCTGATCTGAGCTCCAGAAATTCGAATTGAAATTCAGAACTTCCTAAATACAGTGGATATCAAAAGTCTACACACCCTTTTTGACGTTTCAGCTTTTGTTGATGTAAAGGCTGACATCAAGACAAATCGTGTCAGACCTTATTTCACCTTTAATAAGATCTTGTAACCAACAGTATTTAAGGGAAAAACAAATGGAAATCATTTTTAGGAAGAATAATTAAAAAGAAAACAAAAACTTTAATTGCCATGATGCACAGTCCAATTGTTCCAGGTATTTTTCCTTAAAAGGAAAAATACTGTATAGTATACCTTTGCAAAACAGAGCTAGCAGAGCTCAGAATTTATGTGGATTAAAAAATACAGAATACAGAAAACTGTAAAATGGGTCTGGGGCTTTGGAATGGGGGTGTTATGAAGAGAAGGCTGCTGATGAGGTCTACAGAAATGTTTTGAATCGGTTCTGAGCACACCTGTCTGTACTTAGCCTCAAAAGTTTACAACCAGCTTTTCGCACCTATTGTAGCTCTTTCAGCTACCTGTTGATATGCATACAGCCATCACAGCCCTTTCACGTGTGTGGAGATCGCCCCTCCCCCCCATAAAAACATAGACACCCTGAAAAGGTCGAGAATGGCGCAAGCTGTACCCAGACAACTTTAAGAATTTGCCTTCAGTTACGCTGTCAGTGTTGGAACAGGTAGGATTAGAAATCTGCCTCTTCCAGTTAAGAGAGCACAGACTTGCTGCATGGCGTTATTGTATTTGGTGGCAGAAGATGAGTTTTGTTTGTGGGTCAGCTCCCCGGATCTGCTGTCGACCTGCAGCTTCAGCCTGGGGAAACTGCAGCTCTGCGCCTCTTTCTGCTAACAAAGGACTTTCACTCTAGCTGGATGGCTCGTTATACACGGCAGCCAATTTTTAATAATAATAATAATAATAATTATAATAATAATAATAAAAATCATATAAATGTAATAGTAGTAGTAGTAGTAGTATTTACACTTATATAGCGCTTTTCTGGACGCTCCACTCAAAGTGCTTTACAGGTAATGGGGATCCCCTCCACTAACACCAGTGTGCAGCCCCACCTGGATGATGCGCCAGAACGCCCCCCACACACCACCTCTTAGTGGGGAGGAGAGCAGAGTGATGGAACCAGTACAGAGATGGGAATTATTAGGAGACCATGACCGGTAAAGGTCAGGGGGGAAATCTGGCCAGGACACAGGGATTAGCGCCCCTACTCTTTTTGAGAAACACCCTGAATTTTTAATGACCGCTGAGAGTCAGGACCTCGGTTTCACATCTCGTCTGAAGGATGGCGCCTCATCTACAGTATGGTGTCCCCGTTGCTATACAGGGGCATAAGGACCCACACAGACCAAAGGGTGAGCGCCCCCTACTGGTCCCACTAATGAGAGGAGGTCATTCAGCCCATATAACTCGTTTGGTTAATGTTTATTGGAAACCTGTATCTGAAACTAGGTTAGGAACTAATTGAGAACTAGCTTGAGGATAACGCCTTTTCTTGGTTCATTTATTCAGGCAGGGTGGCAACCCTTATGTCTGCATCTCTATAAAAAGAAAAAGCAAAGAGAGGTGGATCAGAAGCTGTCAGGGGCGATGTGTATTTGTGTTGTTTTGTACTTTCTCTCTCTGGCTGACAGCAACAGCTGTGCGCATTCCGGGCGCCCTCCTGCATCTTCCCATTGAAATCGCCATGGTAACTAGGTGTAGAGCAAACCACTGGTGCGGATATTTTAAGTTTCAAACAAAACACCAGCTACAGAAAGATCTAGCCGAGGCAGATACATTAAGTACGAGCAGATGTAAGTTTTGGACGGAGGGTGGTGTTTGCCGTTTCCATCTGTAGTGCGTGTTGCTGGCGATGGAAGCCAGGCAGTGCTCAGAAAACTGTGACCTCAGTAGATCAGAAGACGCTCTAACAATGCTCTGCGGAAGTAACCTTGGACCACTGAAAAGTGCTTAGGAAACAGCCACATCTTTGTGCCTTTCTAGCGTTTATATAAAAGGAACTTACCGCTTCACAAGCCTGGCCCAAGTGTGCTGTTCCCTTTTAAAACACAGCTGCCTGCTTCCCTTCTTCTGCCATTGTGCCCCTTATCTCTTTTCCTGTCGTGCCCGCGAGACCGCGGGACGCAACGCGTCCTTGCAGTGCCAAGGCGGGGGGGGGGAGTGGGGGCGCAGGACAGGAGGGTCGGCGTTGGCTTCCCGACTCTCAGTGGGAGAGAGTTGACTCCCCTCAGGTGCACTCCAGAACAGCGCCCCAGCTGGTGCGGGTTTACCCACAGGAGGACAAATCGGCTCTGGGGTGGCGTGAAGCCTCTTTCCCTTCCTGTGCTCCATGGCAGGGTCACAGAGCTTATTGTGCTGAGCTCCACCCAGAAAAAAAGGACACCTTGCCCACCTTTTTGCTTTTGTGCTGTGATCAGGTTTATATCTGAGTCATTCCCCATGCTTGACTTCCCCAGCCTCATCTTTCCTCACTGATGAAATCCAGCTGTAGTCTTCTACATGGAAGTCCCCCATTACTATGACCACATAATCAGTTAACACCAGTATGTGTGCTTTTTCTAATTTCATTCATAAATGTATGGGGAAAAAAAAGTTCAGATTAATTAAAATAGGTAACCTGCTCTCCACAAACTGAGAACTTTAGTGTGAATCATTTTATAGGAACTTTTTTATAAAATACTATGTTTTGCAAGACGAGTTCTGTCAGAAATGTTATGTTGAAAGTGAGCCTTGAGGTGCATGCTTTTCGAAGAGCAGGTCACGGTGAAAGATCAGGCTGAATTCTAAGGTTTTCTTAATTTCTGTTGCTCTAACTGAGCTGAGGCTAGAGAATCCTCCCAGTTTGGGCTCTCCAGTCCTTCACAGATTAACTCCCAGTAATCCCACTGCACATTCTTACATTCCTAGAGCTGGCCGGAGTAACTGGGGTAAAAAAGCAGTCTCTTGAACCCAGGACTCTCCAGAAATAGGTCCAGATCCCTCACTACTGTACCAGATCATGTGTGCTTCTGTGTCCTTCTTCTGTCCTCAAGCTCTGAGAAGATTTAAAAGCAGAAGACTTTCATGCATGATGGGAATGGCTTCAGTTCAGCTGGACTCATTTTAAAAGGAAAAGCAGAGAAAAGAAGTATTCGGCAAAAACCTGATGGTTATTGCAAGCTGTGCACATTCTGAGAATACTGGCAGACTGGGCTCTTGGTGCAGTAGAGCAAGCCATCATCACGCAGGGCTCAGAGTTGGGTCTGCAGTCTGTGTTCAGTCAGCATTTATTTCATTGTAACTTGATACTGAAGTGCCTCAATAATGATTTGTATGTTTTGCTGCCAGAAGGTTTTTTTTCTTGTGCTAACTTATTAATTTCTGTCAGCCGGTTTTCTGCCATTTAGAGATACAGTAAATCACATTATTTTTTGTCATGGATTATGTAGAGCAATAAATTTGGAAGAAAGATCAAAGAAATTTCACAATCACCTCACAGTGGTGGAGGGGTGTTTAACTTGTAGAAAATCAGATTTTAAACTATCTCGGCCTGTTGGGTGTTTTAGAACGGTTTGTGAGTCTTTGGTTAGAAATTAAAGTTTTTTTGATTGTTTTTTTTATTTTAAAGTGATATACTGTGACACACAGTGTGACTACCTTCTCAAGAAAGGTCAGGAGCCTAGCCCTTAACAGCTAAAAAGTTTCAGCCCCTTACAGCATGAGAAATCAAAACCATTCAGGTTAAGGGAACGCAGTATAACGAAAAAGGGCATCACCAAAACTTAAGAGCATTAGGACTTTCAGAAAGAATGTAACCAAGAGGAGCCTCTCAGCGCAGCCCAGTGTGTTTATTAGTACTGTAGCTTAGTGATCTAAGGATGTCATCCAGTCTCAGTCTGTGGCTGGACGCCGTGTTCCTGAACCCTCAAACTCCGTCCTCGATGAACACGGGTCGGCCGTGAAGTCCCAGTCCCAGTTTGCTGGAATAGGAGATTGTTAATGGAGGAGAAAAGATTAATAGCAAAGAAAGGGGATAGTATCATTTTTGCGGGAGAATGTTCATTGCCGTGTTAAACCCCTTTTCACTCACTCTCTGCATGTGGTTGTACCATGCTTCTCGGGCCGTTCCATTCGAACGTACTGCTCCTGTCAGCATTGGCTTCATCAGGGACTGATGCAGTCGTGTGTCAACTGCTTTGGGTTGGTGTGCAAGGTGTGTTACAGCTTCTCCTGCTTTGTTGCAGTGGCCAGTTCCCTCGTTCCCAGAGTCCTGCCTCCATCTGTCCCGTCCTGCGGGCCTGCATGTCTTAATGGGACACAACAGGTCAAACAGGTCAGCCCTTCCCGGCCCCTTGGCCCCAGTGTCTGCCGGTTTTCATTCCCACTCAAGCACTAATTGAAACTCGCAAATGATCACGTTTCCGAATTGGACCTTTATTAAGGCCTTTCAGGACCTACAAGCTCACAACTTTTGTTGTTGTTTTGAAAGCTGTGATTTCTTTTACAGACACAGTAACTCAACACAAGTTTCAGGCCTTTATTTATTACTCATTATTTTTCTTTCTTATTTGACAAATATTGGTTCCTTCACATTTTCAATTAAGAGCCTAAGAGCTTAGCGGAAGCAAAAATGAGAAGGTAATGCATTCTTGAGAACCAGGGATGTTGGGAACCTGTGAAGTAGCCGAGGTTCATCCTTCCTCTGAGCCTGCAGCTAGGCTCTGCTCTTAGAGGCTCAATCCGAAATTGATGTGAAGGTGCCTGATTGATTTTTTTCAGGGCAAAGCAGAGATGAATAACTTGAACCTCCCTGGGTCAAAAGCAGGCCACTGCGCTGTAGCTGTAAGGGGGGAAAAGAGGAGGCAGGACTTCAGAGGCGAAAGCACCACCACTCATGGAGGGAGTCTAATAAGCATGGAGCCAAAGAGCTGATTGCTGCCTTTTGCAGCTCAGTAAATACAAGCAGGTCTTTTACAAACCGAACTTCAAGAGTTTTCATTTTGGCTTCAGTCACCAACGTAATTGATTCGGTAATCCCTTCCCCTGTCCAGTCCTGTCCTCCGTTCCTTCTGAAGGTCATCAAAAGGGGTGACCTGCAGGGAGCCGTCTTCTTAAGACATCAGAAGGGGAGAGGAACAAACACTGCCGTTCATTCTGGCACAAAATAAGCCGCGTAGCCAGCAAATCCACTCTGAAATGCATACAAGGTCTGAGCTAATCGGGTCTCCCACCAACGGCCCCCAGCTGCTGGAATGATACACTCCTAATTAAAGTGCTCAGGGTTCAGGACCAAGATGCTCACAATTAAAAAATAATAATAATAATAATAATAAAAACAGAAGCACACGATCCAGGACTGTGGTTAGACTGAAAAGGCAGTAGCAGGAATGCACAGAGGGTAGGCACTGTGGCGGAGGAATTGGTGTTGTCATTAAAACCACAGAGCTGTAAACTGTAATGCTACAATACAAGGCAGGCCATTTCAGCAGTGGGGGGTCAAGGGGAGAAATAAACTGGAGCCCTTAAAATAATTAAAAATGAAGGTGTAGAAAATCCTGACGGCCATGTTAAATAATATGATGCTAAACTGCTCGATACCATTGTGTTTGTTGTAAGTGTGGTGGAATGACCGGGGAAGGGATCTGGTTTGACTTTTTATTTGTCCCTTAAAACAAAGAGTTTGCCTAGTTGTTTCATTGCCACCAGTTCTGTGCTGGTGTGATACCAGAAATACAGTACTGAGACTGCTTTCTTACCGACATCACTGACTTATTACAAGTTTTTCTATAACTCACCTGGGCAAAGAAAGTCACAGACTATTCAAAATTGTGAAATGCTTTGCATTTTTTTCCATTTTTCAACTCTCTAAGAAGACGCTGTAAAAGTTTGGAGTAAACTGTAAAGGTCCAGACAAGCATCTTTCGATTAAGGAGAGCTGTAGGTGCCAGAATGCTCATAGCTGTATTTGTTTCCTAAAAACTGAGCTCTTCACCAAGGGAACAAGGCATTTTTTTCCCCCAACAGTGCTGCAAACAGACCTGGTTTCTGTGAGATAAAAACCTCTATTTCAAGGTGCAAACACCACCACCTCCTAAAATGAAAAGAGCATTTTCAGAGTGATATTATCTCTTGCATGAAGCAAGAGGAAGAAAACATCATAGCCTAGGCCTGGTCTACAATGGCTGAATTCTGTCTGCTGTTCCTGTTTCTCCCAATGATATTTGTTTGCAAAGCACTGATGTACTTGTGTGTCTGTATCTCTCAGCAGTCTGCAGCTGGCTTTGCATCCTCAAAGTCTTTTTTCCTTCACTGCGCTGTGACTGGCTAGCAGCTGGAACAATGCCAGCTATAGATTGTTAATTAAGTTTTTGTAGGCAGTACATGTTCTTGTTTCCAAATACTGTACCAGTGTTCTTTTCACAGACTTCAAAGCGTCCGTGTTCCATTCCAGCAGGATTATTAAGCGATTGTAGTATCTGATATCGCCTCAGACTGCCTTAAGCATTAAAATGCCAGCGGCAGGGCACAGGTACTCACCAGTAAAGCAAACACAGATACTATTGGCTGTGGAGCACAGACTGAAGTGTTTGTCTTGCAGTTATCTTAGTCTCCACATTCTCTTCAGTGAAAAAAAGAAGAAAGAAACAAAGAACACATATTTTATATATATTATCTTTATACTGTATTACATATCCTTATGAACACCTTTTTAACCCAGTAGCTCAACCTAGTTGGTTCCAGTTCTGCCATTGCTC